ACTATTAACTTAAGCTATTTCATATATGTTAAAAATCAAATATACGTAAGATTATGATATAACTTAATATTTAGTAACAAGGGAACATATTTAGGTGTACCCACGGAGATGGAGTTTAAAAGTATTTTATTGTGTAGTGACCATGTCGAATATCTCGAAGATCGGCAATTTAGCTGCCCGTTCTGAGGTCGAAAAAAAGCACTATTTCACATTTTTGCCATATGTTATATTCTATTGTCCGATATCACGTTTTAACGAGTTCTTTTTCTAAAACTTGTGGAAAATATAGCTTTTTCAGGAAAATGAACACATAAAACGAATAAAAGTTTTCATTTATGCAGTTTTTTCCCTGGAAAAACCTATGTTCTTCATAGTCTTTGGAAAAAGAACTTGTTAAAACATGATATCAGACAATAGGATATAATATAAGGCAAGAATGTGAAATAGTGCTATTTATTCGATCTCAGAACGGGCAGCTAAATTGCCGATATTCGAGATATTCAACATGGTCACTACACAATAAAATACTTTTAAACCCCGTCTCCGTGGGTACACTCAGATATGTTCCCTTGTAAGTAATTATATATATCTAGCTGGGTGCAGATAGCCGCTTCCATCTTATTGAGTCGTATCAAATAATATTGTTGCTATTCGAATGCGAAAAACAAAAATAGGCAGCCTCGCAACGAATGAAGCAGCAAAAAAAATATGAAGTGAAATCAAATATTTGTCTTTCATTTAACTGTGCCTTTTGAAACTATTTGGTGACAGAATATTGTATTCGACCATGTGTGTGTACACTGTCTTTCAATTTTATGTTGATTTAGGAAGAAAGGAAAATTTGAGTTGATGTTGAATTTTTTCTTTCAAACACGCAGAACAACACAGAAAAAGGATCAAAAATAAGTGGTGAAGTTTTTCATGCTGCCAATAAACGCAGGTAGTCACTTGTTATTTTCATACTTTAATGTCAATATCATCTCCGAGGTGGTGAATACCGATCGTAAGTATTTTACATGGTATGATATTTCTTTTATTTTTTCCATCATTGTTCAAAATGTTTTGTAAATCTTGTATGATAAAATCTTGAGGTGTGGGTGTGAGTCTCTTCTTCATCCTCTCCTCCTACACACCGATACCCACCTATCCTATTTCACAGAAAAGAGGCTTCGGGTTCGAATCGTTTTGGGCTGAAGGTAGTCTAGAGATGCCCTCTATATGCTGAGCATATGTGTAATAAAGCGGTGAATCACTTTGAAAGGTCTGATGGTTAGTCCGGGCATGTTTAAAGGTCTACACATTTGGTTCTAAGTCTAAAAGAATGGACTCCTCAAAACAGTGTAGGTTTCGTGTGAACTTGAAATTTTCCACCAAACATGGTGGGTACTGGCTCTTGTTTAATGACTCTTAAATACTTTACTACAGATTTTGACTTATCAAAAGCCTTCCGTGTCTATAATACATTTCACTGCGCTGAAGCACGGAGCATTAGTCTGGGAAACAGATTTCTTTGCATTCATATCTCGATTCTAGAGTTTTTAATTATTAAGGCACTTAATTTTATCGGAAACAGGTGTCTAACTCTTTCCTTTATCTTTCAGATACTATTCACAGGTATCGTCTCCACGTATAGTTACTTACTGGTAGTTGAACGTGTGAAAAGGAATACTGTTTGTCTTATGTGTGGAGTTGTTTTTATATTACTAGTATATGTGAAAAAACGGGAGCGACTGTTGATCTTTCTCCGATGAAGCGAGAACAGTCTTTCTCTTTTTTTACTGCTCCAATCCAACTTAGTTGTATTGTGTAAATAATGAAGTAACTGTAGTATTTATGAAAAGACGAGAGAGTGAAAATTTATCCAACAAAAGGGAAAGAAAAAATTAGTAAATAGATGTGTGGAGGAGAAATTCAAAACGAGAAGAGGGAAAAAATTCTAAACAAATCGGAATAGTAAAAATTCAGTATATAGACAAGAGTGAAAAATCGGTAATTGGAAGCGGAGATGAAAAGCTCACTATTCTTAGACGCTGAAAAATCAAACTGTTAAGAGACCAGGAAAGTGTGTCGTTTTTTAGGGGAGGGTGTGGGTGTAGGTGCGTGTAACTAGTATGATCGTTCTTTGCCTACCATTACATCCACCAACACACCCACACCCACACCCGCACCCACACCCTTAAGTATATGTTGACATATTATTACTGTATAAATCATTCCTTTGTCCGCTAATAAAATGTATTCAAAATCTTTTCTTTTAATCTTTTTCTAAAGCATCAGTATGTGAGTACTTGCCTAGTTTGACTTATAATATAAATGAAAGGAAAAAGAAATTCATCAGGACACATCATACCTATAGAAATTATTTTATCGATTTCTCATTTATATAAATGTGATAAATGAACACTTTACTGTTGGCTAGGAAAAGCAAAATAGAAAATCTTTCTTTTATCGATTTTCCATTTATATAATTGTGTTAAATGAATATTTTACCGAAGGTTAGGAAAAGGAAAAAATATTTTTTTTTCCTTTCCTTCTCTGACTACTTAGTTTGCTTTTTTTCTTTTTTCATACTCACTTGCGTTCCATTTTGTTTAGAGAGTAGCTGCCTAAGTTCGCTATCTATTTAACTCTTACTCTGCGCTGTCAATCGAGAAATAGTTCAATATAGGTAATGCATATTCTTGTTCTATATATATCAGAGTGAACATATCCAGATCTTATAAGCGTCTATTCATAAGAAGATCTTCCAAAATGAGAGAAAAATAGGACAGTTATTGCATCATTCATAGCTGCATGTTCTTCTTTTGAAAATTTTTGATATTGATTGAGTCGTAACAGTCATTTTTAGTGAAATAGGCAACAATCCAAAGATGACTTTATCTATGCAGGTTAGAAGAAGAATATTATATTAATCAGTACTAAAAAAATCCTTTTTGAGAAAGTTTGCAACGAGTTTACAAATGTAATACATTATTTCAATGGCTAATATTTTAAGTAATTTCAGTAGAGGATTCAATGAATCAATGACCAATAGAGAACATCATCATTTAGAACGAAAACAGTCATAAGTACTTGTATAACAAGGAAATGGCGCTTCCAGAATACACTGGCAGCTTCGCGATTCTTACATGACCCCAACTAAAAGATTATTTATTGTTCCATCATTATGAGCTCGTACACTGTGAGTTACATCTAAAGAACCTGCCGCCTAACACTTGAGACTAATTCATAGAAATTCAGATTTCATCGCAAGGTTGAAATGTTAAAGCGGAAGAGTTAAGAGATTAAGAGAATAAATAATATTAGATAGAATTCATCGTTTAAGACAAAGTATAGAAAATTACAATACGCACTATAAAGTAATGTTATTTTCGAAACGACTGCAAGTTGCATGGGGTAAATAGTTTTTTGGTGGGCCTTTAGCAGTTACAAAGTGTGTCAAGAATCTTTTCGTATAACTAAAACTATTGATTCAACTATATCGACTAATTCCTTTCTAACCAATACATTTCTCGACGAAATATTACTTTAACAATCAAATGGCAAAAACTCTTTTCGTCTCAGATGCCAATATTTAGCCTTTTTACTAATTCTATATTGGCATTACTTCGTTTCTTTGCTTTTGATTGCTTGACTCTCGATTCCATCAACTTCGATTGCATTTTAATGAGACACATAAAGATTTACCTCTATATGAGTTACTCCATGACTTAAACAATTTTCGAAATCGAAAAAATTAAAAAAAGAGACGGCGTAGTGTGAATATGGAACTAGTGAAAAGGCTAAATACTTGCAACTGTATCGAAAAGAATTTTTGGCGTTTGTCTGTTGAAGTAAAATTTTTGTCAAGAAATGTGTTGGGTAGAAAGGTGTTGGTCGATATAGCTAAATTAATAGTGTAGTTATACGAAATGATCCTTTATACACTCTGTATCTCATGTATACAATCAAAAGGCCAAATTGGCGTTTAAACATTTGAATGCGTTGTTCGTTAAAAACGTTTGAAATTATCGTCAAAAATTCGTTAAAGCAATAAAAATTTCAACAAATCTTAGCGTTAAAACGTGGAAAAGTGTTAAATGTCGTTAATTGTTTGAACACTGTTTTTACGATTTCGTTGTACGCCCGGGGAATCTCATCAATTTCTTGAACCCTTTCTGTTTTATGAAATATCTTGGTGTCCTAAGATTCTGGAGTTTTTGGGGTTCTTGCGTTTTCTTAATAAGACAACTTTCTCCATCATTATTTTACATTTTCAGATAATGAAACAAATGAAATAATCGACGCTTTCTATCATCGGAAACAAAAGAAAATTATTGACAATTATGGCTACCGCAACACTGACAACAAGAAACTCTCTAAAAACTATTGAATGGAAATGGCAATCGAATCCTAATCCATGGTCAAAAACTGAGCCACCAACATGGAGTCATTATTCAGATGTTGAAAATCTAATTATCGAAAGAGCCTTTTTGAATAAACAATCAGGAGCCATCCTGGATGCATATTACATTGATTTCGAAAGCAATCGACAGATATCTATCAATAATAATAACAACCAAAGACCTATAGAAAGAATAGTGCGCAAGAAAGAAGACCAACATTTAAGAGAAGAACGTTTTATGGATCTGCCAGTTGCATCAGATCGTTCATTTGGTGGTGAATACGGTTGGGTATCGCCATTCGTCTTGGAGGTTAGAAAATATTTGGGTCTGTGCCCAGATGAACTTCCTTCTAAAAAACCAGATATGATACTAGGTCTTGTCGAAAAAGCTGCTCACGGCATTATTGAAGAAGGCAAACATATTGGAAAAGAAAAAGAAGCTGAAGAATTGGCTAATATTCTTCAAGAAAAAAAGAATAAAGGAATTGAAGAAGTATGGGAATGCTGTGCTTACCTTTACTCGTTGGAAAGCTTTCTGTACAAAACTTTGAACGCAAACATGAGATTAGTTGGAAGCAAAGAAGAAGAACATACTTGGCGCCAGACTGTTCGAACACTAGGCCCATTTTGTTTATTGCTCTGGGATGATCCATATAATAAAAAGGTGAGAACCAACATTGAATTATATCGCGGAGCCAAACTCAAACCTGAACAGATCGCTGCTTATAAAAAAATGGCCATGAATGAAAATGAATATGGCTCTTTTCAAGGATTTTCATCGTGTAGTCGTAATCGTGGAAAAGCAGAGAGATTTGGTAATGCATTGTTCATTATGAAAGTATTGTTTGCATTTACTGCTGATATTAGTGAATTATCGAAATATCCTAAGGAAGAAGAAGAACTTGTTACACCAGGTGTATGTTTTCGTGTTATGTTTGTCGAAGAGGAACCTGAGACAGGCAAATATTTAATCTACTTGGAATTAAGACAACGTTTTTCTAGTAAGTGGAAAAGATGTTTTGTAATATTTATTATAATATGACAAGGATTATTTCTGAAGATTTTGTTTCTTACTGAATATATCGTGTTAAAATGACATTAATAAATCTTATTCTTGTTTTATATATTCATGTTTGAAGGTTTTACTTAAGCACGATTACTCATAAATAATTATTTTAATGCTAACCTTTCTTTATTAATAGGATTATAAATGTGTCAGAAAAAATTCTTTAGTACAAAATTAAGAAAGTATTCCTTCGTTTGTTAATGTTTGAAGTTTCCTTTAAAATTGGTCTAATATAACAGTTTAGCAATCTTTTGAATAATCTGCTACGAAACATGTAAGATCATCTGGCATATAATGCACAATGGGAACTCACAGTCCATTCTCAGACTCCTATAGTTTTCACTGACTGATGACTTTCTCTTTTTCTAGCGGAAGACCATAAGCAAATCAGCATCCAAAAGAAGTCCAACACGGAAGAAGATGCTTTTGCTTGCGATATTGATATTTTTGTTGATGTTAATGGTCGTCTTTATCGTCATGTTGGTCTTGGTCTTAGTGGTTGTGATGGTATTATTCTTGCTACTGTTCGTGATTATGATGATTATGCTGATATTATTGATGATCATGGTCTTCTTGCTCTTCGTGATAGACGTGTTAATGCTATTTATGATGCTTATGATACTCATGTTGATCGTTTTGCTGATTTTGGTTACGGTCGGGATGGTAATTGGTTATAGAAAGCAATGAAATATGTTTTGATTGGAAAAGATTTTTCTTTTTGAAAAGGTTCGAAAATGATAAAATAAATTAACTCAGAAAATATGAAGTTGCATGAGAATATGCAATTGAATTGTTGTTATATGTTGAGAGTGAGAGTGCATGTCACAGTAAGAGTAATTATGCGATTACTACGCACGATATTGGGAATGTCGTGGTATAATGAGTGTATTTAATTGATGTTAACAGCAAGGACAAAATGTACTAAGCATCAGGTATCAGGGTGTAGAGCAGCGATAAAAAGAATTACAAATATTATTAATATCTTGAGGGTGTGGGTGGGTGGCTGTAAGGGTGTGGATTTGTTTTTTCTACTTATGCCCACACTCACATCCACACCGATCCACACACAAGGTAATTGCTTGTTAAATAATCTTGAGGGTGTGAATGTGCGTGTGGGTTGGCGTGGGTATGAGTATGAGTGTGGGTGTGGATTAGAGAACTACGGAGTCGAGTTTTCTTATTCCGATTCCAGCTCTGACACCAACTTTGAAAACCTTTCTTTGTAGTGTAGCCCCTAGAGAACTGCGGAGTCGGAATCGGGTATCGTAGGGCAGTGCAGTTCTCTACTGTGAATGCGGGTGTGGATATGGATGTGAGTGTAGGTTTGGTTATAGATATGGATACGGATGTGGATGTAGGCGCAATAAATAAGATGTACTCACACATACACCCAAACCGGTATCTACACCCACCCACACCCACCATTCGCAGATTGTGGTACGAAATGTCATTCACCCAGCCTCTTATGCTGTATGACGATCATCTTCCTGGAATTAGACAGAATTGACTTCGGGTCACAGCTGATTTCGTAATATTCATCATTTTGGTATAGGATGACTGCTCCTATATTCCTACACTCACCCACTTCCATACCCTTCAGATGGATCCTTCAGACTCTTCAGGATCTATCGAAATACATAGGATCCACTCTTTCCTCCTGGATAAAAGATTTATTTTGGAAAAAACTTCATTTTCTTACTCTTCGATTATCTAAGATCTCTAAAACCAAGCACGAGTATAAATGAAACTACTATCTTCTCCAGAAAATTATTCATCTAGTAGAGATGTTTTTCATAAAAATGAGCTGTCTACAGCAAACATCACTCATCACCAATGATAAATCCAAGAATTTTATTTTATTTAACAAAAGAATGAACAAGAAGACATTAATCAATGTCTTTTATGTATTAATAACATAGATTTAATAAAGATGTACATTTTCTGTTAAAAAAAACAAGCCTTGTTATATTATATAAAAGGAGAAAAAGATAAATATTCTGAAAATGGTTGAATGAGTTGTGAATGAAGTATACAAAACAAAACAAAAAGAAATTGAATACAATGTAAAATTATAGATAGACAGGCGCCTAAAAAAGATAAGATATGAAAAACAAAGCTGTTGATGGTTTGATAATGAATATAATTCATATGCGCATAAGCCAATGACGTACTTATGTCATGCTAAGGAATTGTCATGCGTAATTGATGACGTACTTTTATATGTGTAGATAAATAATATATAAATGATCGATGAAAGAAAATATATTTTGAAGAAGCAGCACAATCACACGCTCATTAAATTAATCATTAATCTTGTTTTGTTTTGTTTTTATTTCTTTGAGTTTGGCTTCCATTTTCGACTAACTTCATAAAAATATTGAAGAAAATCGGTCTGACTAAAAACTCTGAGGATGGGCGTAGGTATAGGTCTGAATATTTGGTATATATGAAAACCATATCAACAACCACACCCACATCGAGATACAGTTTTTTTTATAGTCGAGAGCAAAGGGCAATTAATAGGCTTATTTTTAAGAAATTTTTCTCTTATTTTAATAAAACCATTAATTAGAATGGAGAATTCTTATATTTATTTAATGAACAAAATCAAGTAAAGATTAATTATTGACTTCTGAATTCATTATATGAACATTTATGATTAGCAAATCATATTATAAAACCAAAGAATTTAGACATAAAATAAAAGAAATGTCTAAACTTTTAAAATACTAAAATAAATGAGAGATACATAAAAACATTTCTTATTCAAATAATATCAATCATTTTCAAACATTTCATGATAACAAGAAAAATATTAATTCAATCGAAATCAAGAGTTTTCTAAAAGTATATTGAACGATGAATGAAAATTTTTCTCACAAGATGAGATGCACAAATATGAATGAAATAGGAGTTTGGAGTTTGATGAAAAAGAATATATAAAAACATGAATCCGCTCAAAAATCACAAGAATACTAAAATGGTGAATACCAATTTCAATAATTCTCAGAAAAAGGATCAGTGAATGTTTTCATATAAATACATGTATCTTTGTCCCAGTAAGCGAAAACATCGTTTTATTTTGAGAATAGTTTGTACACATACTCACTTAGTCTTTGTTGAACGGCATAAAAGTTCAAAATATGATTTATAATTATATCTAAATCATTCTTGTACTTTTTTTTCTATATGTTAAACACCTACGTATATATTCTTCATCTATTCTAATCTTTTATGATTGATGAATCTGGGAGAAAACTATGATTTTACTTTTCTTAACATTATTAGAAATATTTTGATTTATTAAGTCAATCATAGATCCGAAATAATAAATAGCACGTTTTTTTTATTTTCTCTTAAACTTTGTAATTAAGACTTCATTTATTAAGTTTATGATCAATAGGCATTAAACAGACAAGCATTTTTCTCGTATTTATACGTCTCCAACTTTGTTTTTCTTCATTGTGATTCTAAGGCGACTCAAGTAAGTATTTGATATCAAAAACTCGCATGCCTTCATAATATGATTCTGTAGATATTACACTGTCTCTAAATCTAAAAGTTTTTTCATATCATATTTTTCCCAAATATTTTAGATTTAATTTCATAACATTGCAAAATTTTGACGAAGCTTTACGAATGGATCAAAGCAACAGAATAAGCGTTTGTGATACGATTTATTAAGCGAAAAAAACTAACTCGTTTTTCTTCTTTACTTTGTAGCCTCAGTCAGTTAACAGCGATATAAGCGAAATACAACCTACTCAATCGACAAGATCGTACGTGTATTGTGAGCTTTAGTAAATGAAAAATGTTGTTTTTATTTTAGACGTGGATGTATTCGAAGTAAATTGACGTGGATCATATTTACTATTGTGATAATAGCGGGCATTAGTATTCCAACAGCTATTATTCTCACGAAAAAGGGAAATGTTGTTGAAACAAATTTAACAACAATAATAACGACAACAGGAAAAGGATCAACAACATTGATGTTAACAACCATCAAATCATCAACAACAACTACAACAGCAGAACCAGGATCAACAACAACACAAGCAGGTATGTCTGTGTTCAAAGAGAGATAGAAAGATGTTGATCGATTACTTGCAATAACTTATGATAGGCTATTTAATGAAAAAAAACATCAATCATGTATTGTTAGTTGATTCTTACCTGTCTAATCTGATTGAGATTCCAGATATTTCATTGTTTTTATTATTCTTTATAACAAAGAATAAATATAAAAACTCTTTATCTTTATATAGCAAAGAAATTTATTTTCGTGGAAATCCAGTTTTTTCCTATGTAATTTATAAAAAAGGCCAGATATCATAGATGCAAACAAAGTATGTGAAGAAGTTTTTTTCATATAGTATTTCAAGTATCATCTTTATTTCTCTATAATATCACATGACGATGTGAGGATAGTGATAAGAACGAATATGGATTAATATATCCTATTGCTATGCTAAAGATTTGTCTCATTATTTACTATAGAAAGAAATCTTTTTTTATTCTTTTTTTTTTTTGAAAACATAACAACTCTGCTTATGTTTATTTAATAAAATAAAGATAAGGTAATTTCTCTAATTGAAATAATAGCAAAGATCAAAGATTAAAGAATGATGATGTTTCTGGTGACACTATATTTTTGTATGAGAATATGTTATTCAATAGTTAGAGTGTGGGTGTGGGTATCACAGACACACTATGCACACACCCCCATCCACACCCTCGAGAAAATATGAATCCTTTAGAGTTTGGGTGTTGGTGTAAGCGGGGGTGGTGTGGGTGCGGGTGTTATTTTTTCATCCACACCAATACCCACACCCACCCTCAACATGGACTTTTGACTTGCATAGGAGACTGATGAACATTTTTTCTTTTGAATTAACTATTCACTGTTTATAGTCTGCCAATCGGATGCAACTGCTATTACATTTGATGATATTCCATCAGCAAATCCTCGCGAAGCCGAACTTCCAATAAACTATGCAGGGCTTACTTGGACAAATGGATATTATATAAACATAACCACTAGCCCTAAGTCTGGCTATAGACATGCTGTTGCCTCTGGTATATATGTAGGATGGAGCAGAGATCCTATGACAATGCAAACACTATCGGCTAACTCCACAATGACATTTGTGTCATGTATAATGGCTGCCGGATGGTCAAACTCAACAAAAGTCAAGATTACTGGCTATTATTCAAATACCCAATTGAACACAACCACATATTCATTAAATACATATACAAAAACTTCAGTTGTGCTTAATTGGAGCGGGATTAATAAAGTTATTTTTACACCATCTGGATCCGGAGATATTGATTATGGTATGGATAATTTATGTATTATATTTTGACATTTAACTACAAAAATATGCTGACAAATTTTGATGACTTTTATAAACTCATGCATATTATATATATATATATATATATCTATATATCTGCAATTGTTCTTTTCCTGTATCTAATCTGCAGAAAAGAGAAATAATTTTGCTTTCAATGTTGTAAAATAATAAAATCTATTCTCTATTACAAATATAAAATTTTATTCGGTTAAATTCGTTTTTCACTCGAAACGTTTGTGAGACAGTTGATACAAATTATTTCTTTTTTTGTTTATTTTCAATGCATAGTTGTTCGACTTCGATCTTATATATAAAGTATATTCAATACTTTTTAGGAGAAAATGCAATGGTGGTTTGAATGAAAAAGTAATATTTCTTTCTCTTGTATGATAATGTGGATGTCAATGTTGAATAAATATTTATTACTCATATTCACATCTACAATAACACTCATATTAATAGACACTTCTCAAGACAATATCATCATCAGTCGTGACGAAGAATCATTTATCTATTGATACTAAAACTTATTTTGTCGAAAAAATAGAAATGAATACGGATGAAATACTGCTCATTCGATAAATAAATGAAATATCAAATGAATAAATTGAACTCAATACTGACACTTTAATATTACTACTGAAGAAACTATTCATTTACTGAGCAAAGAATTAGTTAACTGGTGAAACCTGATAGTCAGCAAAGAATAACTGTTCCACTGATAATTTGACTTCTTTATTGATAATGTATATGGACACGGCCAAGGGTTACGGAATTTCATTTTTTCAACTTGTGAGACATGTATCTTCTCAATAACAAGAGAGATGTTTTTGAAATTTTTACCATATATGAGGATTATAACTAGCTGTACTAGTACTAAAAACTTCAATGAATTGTGGCAAGCCATAACGGAGTTATATGAAAAAAATCGTTCGTTAAGGAATATTAAAAATGAACAAAATTTTTAGGAAAGACTCAGATTTTAACATTTTTCTTCGAAACTAAGCGACTCATACATGAACGTTTTCCATATAGGTTGTTGAGCTTTTCACAAGCTCTTAGAATAGCATATCGTTTTCTCTGAAAGATATTTCCTTTAAAGAAGAAGACTTAATAGATTGAGCGTTACGGAATTTCACCGGTTTGCTCTTTTCTTGTGAGGGACAATTTAGTGCCATTTTTATGATAATTTTAACTATGAAATCTAACTTTTTTTATTCTGTAACGATTAAGAATATTGTTTTTCTTATAAATCGATTAGTTCATTTTTATTTTCTTTTTAAAACTTTGTTGAAAACTCCATTCATTATTTTGACAAAAATGAAAGGTTAAAAACCGAGAAAACAGTGAAATTTCGTGATTAGTCGTATTTTTAAGCTCGTAGAAAAGACAAATGATATTGATTTTATATGTCAACTGAGCAACTCGGAATGCAGAACAAACTTAATGATATTTCAAGATCATACTCTCTATAACAATTTTCTCTTCTGTACCTTACTGATGTTGAACCATCCCCAGCGAAAGGAACCGCTAGCTGGCCGTGCCCAGATAGAACACTGAATATATTTTTACAAGCATGTGTGAAAAAGCAAAAAACAATTTTGCTGTAATTTTGTATTGTGTGCACCTTAATTAAACTTTTGAATAATTGAAATAAATAATTTTCATAGATTTATTTTCTCAAGAATAATACAAGTGAACTGAAAATGAAAATAAGATTTTCTCATAGGAATTTTCTTCTTGGAATAAAAGGTAAAATAGACACTTTCCTATTCGACATATTTCTTATAAAAGATAAGAATAAGATAAGTTTTGTTTTTTCATATCAAAAACTAGTTTATAAACCACGTGAGCAGGATGATTTTAAATTACGAATAGAATATTCAACATTGATATTTTAATTATAATTATTTAATAAAAAAAAACTAAATCCTCAATAAGATATATTTAACAAAAATGAAACAAACAAAATTCTAATTTGATAATCAATGAGACTTGAATTTTATTGAAGAATCTAGATCATTAAATCTATCTTGATTTCAATTTAAATAAATAACAGCTATTTTTTATTTAAAAATTCGTTTTTATAGGAAAACAAACAAGATCCAAATATAAGAATAAGACTTAGTAATAAGAAAGAAGTGGTTTTTTATGTTTAGATTTGTAACAATGAGAATTATTTTGATATTAAGTCATTTTTTAAATGAACTTATTTAAAAATGAATATATAGATGAGAGAATTAATTCAATTTCAGATATTATCCTTAGAAATTAGAAAGAGATTTAGTTTTCGTTTTTCAATCAATACAAATTAATAGATACGATTGACAAGAATCAAAATAAGTACGAAAAGAAAACTCTTCAAAGTTGAATAAGATGATTATTTATCCGCACAAATAAAATAATATAAAATAGTACTTGTTATTATTCTTTCCTAGAATTTCTATTTAACCTTCAAAAACAAATTATAATTAGATTTCTTAACACGTTGTTTAATAAAATTCTTTTCACTTTCAATTTTATTTTACTTTGTCAAATATAATATTACGATCTTCTATTAATTTTCATAAAATGATAGATCTTCAATGAATTATTCAATAAATAGCAGATTTTATTCTCGAAAGCGTTGGTTCATATATTAATTATAAGATAAATATTTTTATTTTCTATAAATAATTAAATAAAGATCATATCCGATTATTAATATGGATTATTTCGGACAAAGTTTAACAAAAAGTCACAAATAAAATATACAGATTACTACATAATTCATTATTAGATTTGTATTCTATATGGTTTTACTATTAGTCCCGATTTAAATAAAACTTTTACTTTTTTCCCTGACCCAGTCAGACAAAATTGATAGAAAGATATGAGCAAGAAGTTTTTATCGATAAAGATAAACTTTTTTAAAACTCTGTAGCAAACGCTGGACCTTTTATGATGCGCTCAATATATTCTTTATCTTATTTTCTCTACATTTCATATATGAAAAAATCATTAATAGGGTGTGGGTGTAGACGTGGATATGGGTGCAGATGTGGATTTGAGTACAATAAACAAGATACACTCACGCACACATCCGAACCCACATCTATACCCATCCTCGGTCACATCCACACCCATATCAACAACCACACATCGAGACACAGTTTTTTATGGTCGACAGCAGAGGACAATATATTTAATTTTCAGAAATTTTTTTCTTATTTTGATAAAGTCATTAGTTAGAATGCAGAATTTTTATATTTATTTAATGAACAAAATCAAGTAAAGATTAATTATTGACCTCAATTCATTATAGGCAATTTTAATTTGTAAATCATATAATAAAATCAAAGAATTTATATATAAAACAACAGAAATGTCAAACTTTTAGAATATTCTCGAAATATTTTCATCATAAATTAATCAGTTGTCATAAAAAAAAATCTTTAACCTCTCTTCTCTAGTAATATATAAAAAAAATGAATGAGAAATACATAAAAACATTTCTTATTCAAATAATATCAATCAATTTCAAAGATTTATGATAAAAACAAAAATATTACTCCAATCGAAATTAAGAATTTTTCCAAAACCATTTTGAAAGATGGATTAAAAAATTCTCTCAAAAAATTAGATACACAAATAAGAATGAAATAGTATTCTGGAGCTTGATGAAAAAGAATATATAAAAATATGAATTCGTTCAAAAACCATAGCAGTACTGAGATGATGAATACCAATTCTAATAATCCTCGGAATTAGGACCAGTGAATATTTTCACATCAATACAGGTATCTTTGTCCCAGTAGGTGATAACATGTCGTTTCAATTTGAGAACATTTTGTACACATACTTATGTAGTCCTTGTTGAACGGCATAAAAGTTCAAAATATGATTTATAATTTTATCTAAATCATTCTTGTACTTTTTTTTCTATATGTTAAACACCTACGTGTATATTCTTGATTTATTTTAATCTTTTATGATTGATGAACCTGGGAGAAAAGGATGATTTTACTTTTCTTAACATTATTAGAAATATTTTGATTTATTAAGTCAATGATAGATCCGAAATAATAAAAATCATGTTTTTTTGTGTTCTCTTAAATTTTATAATAAAGTCTTTATTTATTAAGTTTATGATGAATAATAATCAAATAGACAAACTTTTTTCTCCTATTTTATGCGTCTCCAACTTTGTTTTTCTTCATTTTGATTTTAGGCTCACTCAAATAGGTGTTTAATATCAAAAACTCTCATACCTTCATGATATGATCCTCTAGATATTACATTGCCTTTAAATCTAAAAGTTTTTTTATATCATATTTTTCCGAATCCTTTTTTAGATTTAATTCCATAACATTGCAAAACTTTGACGAAGCTTTACGAATGGATCAAAGCAACAGAATAAGTGTTTGTGATATGATTTATTACGAGAAAAAAACTAATTCGTTTTTTTTCTTCACTTTGTAGCCTCATTCGGTTAACAGCGATATAGGTGAAACACAACCTACACAATCGACAAGATCGTACGTGTATTCTGAGCTTTAGCAGACAAAAAAAAATTTTAATTTTAGATGTGTGTGTATTCGAAGTAAATTGATGTGGATCATATTTACTATTGTGATAATAGCGGGCATTAGTATCCCAACAGCTATTATTCTCACGAAAAAGGGGAACGTTGTTGAAACAAATTTAACAACAATAATAACGACAACAGGAAAAGGGTCAACAACATCGATGTCAGCAACAGCAAAATCATCAACAAAAACAACAGCAAAAGGATCAACAACAACACAATCAGGTATGTTTGTGTTCAAAAAGTAATAGAAAGAAGTTGATTAACTACTTACAATTACTTATAACAGGCTATTTAATAAAAAAACATCAATCATATATTGTTAGTTGATTCTTACTTGTCTAAGCTGATTGAGATTCCAGATATTTCATTGTTTTTATTATTCCCTATAAGAAAGAATAAATATAAAAACTCTTTATCTTAATAAATAAAGAAATTTATA